ATTCTTTTTTTTAGGCAAGTAATCGGCGATTATGTGAAACTCTTTAATCCACATTACGGGGTAAGGGTGCACAAACATTTTTCAATGGTTTAGATTAAACATGTCCACATCCAACGGCTTCGACAAAGTTTTGTATTTTATTTTTATTTTTATTTATATATATGTATTTTTTTATGGTGAATCAAATAAAAATGATAAAAAAATATTTAAAACAAAAAATTGATCAAAATATACCTTTAAATTATTTGAAGGGTATTTTGCTCATTTTTTTTAGTATTTTTTAATATTTTTATTTCATAAGTCATATATATATATATATATAACCCAAATATTCAAATAAAATTAAAAAATAAAATACAAAACTCTTTTTTTGGCTACTGGATGATATTAGATACTCAATCCGAACCAATGAGCAGTGCTTGTGCACCCTTTAAGCATCCACATCCAGTGGTGGAGAGAAGCTGTTATTCTTGAAATGTACATTTGCATGTGTTTGTTTAATCTCCACCGTCCACCCTTAACGATATTTCATTAAGTAAAATGGTCGGTCACTAATTATTAAGGGTGTGATACCAGCCCATATTTGGATTAGGGCTGGCGACTGGCCTGGTTGGCCCGCCTCTGCCCCGAATCGGTTTGAAAAGCCCCTAGTGGAGGCTAGCATGATAGACTCAAATTAAAAAATAAAAAAAAAAGCTTGGTTGTCAAGCCTTCTAGTGGTTTTGGCCCGACCTTGCGACTGGCCTGGTTGGCTCGCTTCTATCCGAATCGGTTTAAAAAGCCCCTAGTGGAGGCTAGCCTAATAGACTCAAAAAAAAAAAAAAGAAAAAAAAAAGAAAAAAAAAGAAGAAAAAAATAGCAAAACAGAAAGCTTGGTTGTCTGGCCTTCTTGTGGTTTTTGGCCCGACCTGGCGACTGGCCTGGTTAGCCCGCCTCTGCCCGAATCAGTTTGAAAAGCCCCTAGTGGAGGCTACCCTAATAGACTCAAATTAAAAAAAAAAAAAAAAGCTGGTTGTCTGGCCTTCTTGTGGTTTTGGCCCGACCTGGCGACTGGCTTGGTTGGCCCACCTTTATCCAAATCGGTTTCAAAAGCCCCTAGTGGAGGCTAGCAGAATAGACTCAAAAAAAAAAAAAAAAAAAAAAAACAGCAAAACAGAAAGCTTGGTTGTCTGGCCTTCTTGTGGTTTTGGCCCGACATGGCGACCGGCCTGGTTGGCCCGCCTCTGCCCGAATCGGTTTGAAAAGCCCCTAGTGGAGGCTAGCCTAATAGACTCAAATTAAAAAAAAAAGGAAAAAAGAAGCTTGGTTGTCTAGCCTTCTTGTGGTTTTGGCCCGACCATCAGTCAATAATTTCTGACTTATGCCCTAATCTTTTAAGAACGGGGCTGCCAAGCCTAATTTGGATGAATGTGTTTTTTCATATAGTAGCACAACTGCCCCAGTGTTGGTCTTGACTCTCGAACGGGTGGTGTGCACCTTTATTCGCTACTGTAGTGCTATGAGGCAAATGCCACTCAAGTGTTTGCAGTAAATAAAAAAGGAAAATTTATCAAAATACTTATTTGAAATGAACTATTCAACAATTTACCAATATAGTTTGATATAATTTTGAAATACGTATCAAAAGACACATGATCATGAGTTTGGAATAGTGTCAAATTTGTATAAAATGTTACGGGTGAGGTTTATATAAGGCACCCTCCTTATGATATAGAAGCAAGAATAACCTCTAAATTTGTGCAAAGATGAAGCTCTAGTGTCAGAAACATATGGTGACTTGAAATCTATTTTCATCCCAAATAGAAAATTAAAATTTTAAAAATAGTATAAATCAAGCAAATCTATAAATATTTAAAAATCTTGAAAATAGACCGTCAAGATAACTTATTACAAGCTGTATTATTTTTTTTGGACTTTAAATTCTTTTTTTTTTGTCATATCCATACATCTCTTGGTCAAACGGATCAATTGGAGGTTTTCCAACATCGGAACACTATCTTCTAGAGAATTTTTGAAGTGCATCTTACTTCAATGGTATCTGATTGATACCTCATATAAACTTTTCCCTAAATAGCACATCTCTTATAAGAATTTTGATAACTTTTCTTAAAAGAAATTGAAGCTCAAGACATTGAAATGGGGCGTAAAACTATGATATAAACGTGGTTTTGTTAATTTGATTTATTAGAGAGCGTGGGTACTGGAATTGGTCAGGGAATGGGGAATTTCGAGAGAGAAAAGGAGATTATAAGATGGTAGTGGAGAAAAATGAGAGTAATAGTAGGGCTGGCAATGGAATGGCACTGACCTGGGCTAGCCCTGACACTAGTCCCCATAGAGCTGGGCCAGGTTGAACTGAGCTGGCCCTGACCTAGGGTGCAACTCTTTCCAATAGCGCAATTCTTGTTTCGGCCTACTCAAACCTCTCCCACATTTGCCTGCAACTCACATGTTGTACAAGTTAGTCTTCCATTGAATATTAAGTAGGGATGCCATGGCAGCTCTGATTGACGCCATCTATGACAAGCTGAGGCTATCTTTTTATCGCCGCACGGCTCAACCATCGGTAATTCTATTCACTGATCGAGGTTTATGGAGATAGCCAATCTTAGGCCCTGAACTCGACTAACTGTGAATCATCTTAATAGACTTGGGCTGGACTAGGGCAAGATTGGCCCGACCAGTTGGCTGCCATGAATGGATGTTTTGACTTGATTTATTAACAACTATTTGGGAACTGAGTAGACATCTAATGAAGTGCTACATGGTTTCTGGTGTTCTATATGCTCAAGATGCTTAACAATAATTAGAAAGGACTGGTGTTGTTATGTGTGAAGGGAGGGACAGAGACGTGTATCTGTTTTCCTAAACCCAAGCAGACAGAGAGGGCACATAAAAATAAGAGCATGTCCAACGTCTAGATAAAACTGTGAATGTGAATTCAAACATTTGGTGGAAGGAAATGTATAACAAGACAATTTATTTTTTATACAAAGAGGTCACAATCATCATTGATCGTTAGATTGGATATCATGTGGTCGGGGATGCGTCATTGTTTAAACACAAAGTTCAAAATAAAATTTATTGAATATTGTAAAATACTTTTTTTTGTTGGATTTTAGGTTATATGACTAAAAATGATTGTGACCACTTTGTACTAAAAATAAATAGTCTCCTAATATCCAATCTCTACTATGCTCCTATAGGAGCAATTAGGTGCATCTATTCACGAGGTTAAAAGACCTACTTGGGAGGAGTGTTTTCAATCTTAAATTTTTATAATTACCTAAGAATAACTACATGATTATTCTGAAAAAAAAAAAAAAGGAATTTGAGTTTTCTAACCTATAGATCTCACCCCCTAAAATTTCATGGCCTTTGTTCAATCTCGAGACATTAATTTTTCAAGTACATAGAGAGTGCACTGAATTTTTTTTTTTTTTTAATTATCGAAGTTGATTTATGAATTAAAGAGGTTATATCCCCAGAATTTGGGTCCTAATATTAATCGAGGATAAGGTTTTACTCTAGGGAGTAAATAGACAGAATACCCCCGCAGGACTATCGCACGTTTTGGCTTATACCACTCACAGGAGGGAGATAACATGGAGAGAAAAATAATGTTTGAGGGATGGGTGGGGAGAGAGGGGGTGTACATTATTTGAGCTAAAAAATGGTTATGCAATTTGTGTCCCCGAGTAATCGGCGATTAATTTGATACCCTTTTTATAATGCCAAATGGGCCCACTTAAGAGGAAGGACACGTACAAAAAAAGCAGCCTGTTCACTCTGGCTCGCCTCCATTATCAATCAACTCATCTGGGCCCAGTTCTCTCTCTCTCTCTTTCATTTGTAGTATTGTAGGGTCACTTCTTTTCCCCCAACTTTCTCTCTCCTAAAATGGCCAAAACATTATTCCCCTCTTGAATATTTTCTATGACTACCCACGTTGCACGATCCAATTTACAACAATAAGTGTTTTTAACAGTATTTTAAAACCCGACAATTTTCAATTCATTCGATATTTTGTAGGAGAATGGGTTGGGATCGAAACAGTTTCAGGATGGTACAGGCCCTGACTTAGTTCCCCTCGGACCCTTTGTTTTTCTTCTTTATCTAATTTTCTCAAGTGCCTTTAGATCTCCACCCTCATAACCTCCCATTTTTTCTTTTATTTTGTTTTAATTATTTTAAATGTTTTAATCATCATTTCGAGACCCATCTGTATTGTTGACGCAATGATTCGACATACATATGTAGGTGAGCAGTTCACAATGCCAATCCAGGTTTCAAAACACTAGCTTTAGAAATAGGTGAATTGCATTTGAACCTTAGAGAAATTGAAATGACTAAGCATACAAATTGCAATATGTACGACATTGAGATCTTTTTTTTTAAAAAGGGAGTGATTTCTAAGGTCGCCTCTGGATTTAGATCTTTTATCAGTCAGGTCGGCTGGCAAATTTTTTTTATAAAAAAAACTCATTGATTCACACATAAAATTCTTTATTTTACAGAATTAGCATGAAACTAAACCAAGATCGAACTCAAATATAAAGAAATCTAATCCTTGCGTACTGAACTTATCAGAAACATATAAAAAGAGAGTTTGTAGGAAACATGGTATTTCTACTCAATTGCCATGTTCTCCCTTCATGGAGAAAGGGAAGATGATAAATTCACAAATTAAATAATTATCAAGAAGATGAAATTTTGAATAGAATGCAACATCCAAAATGCTAAAATGAAAGTTAAAAAAAAGGGCAAAATCTTCCAAAATTGGGACCCTAATGAATAGAAATTCACGCGTAGATTGTTTTCCACCACCAAAAATGAGAAGGAAAATGAAAGCTGGTGAGGTGGGGTCATTTTCAAATTTCTGATATTTTTGGGCGTTGATGATATTTTCGTAATTACTGGAAGATCACGAGGACATTTTCGTCCGCGTCCCTCCAAAAAAATCTTATCTCCCGCGTTTTCTCTTACCATTCTGTCTCTGGTAAAGATTACGAGAGAGGAATTTAGAGAGAGAAACTCTCTCTGAATTTAGAGAGAGAAACTTCTAAACATCTCTCTGGCTCTCTGCAACTCAATTCTTCACCTCTATTTATTCTCTCTAAAATCCCCATCTCTCTCTCTCTCTCTAGCTCAAATGTTACATTCTCTTTACATTCATGGAGTCCCTCTGCTGCACATTTCCCAAACCAAACTGACACACCAATCGTCTCTAGAAACCCCAAGGCCTTTCTCCTCTCTCTCCTCAACCCCTACTGTCTCTCCCTCTCCAACTTCTCGTTGCTTCTCCCTTACACTGAAAACCTAATCTTTCTTTCTCTAGCCTTCTCTCTATCTGAACCACCAATCCCTGCAAAACCCACCTCCCTTCTCTCTCTTTTGAACCAGCTCCCATGGCTACTTTCCCCCCAAAACCCCTCTTTCTCTCTCTACTCCACTTTCTCTCTCTATTCCTCCATTTCCACCCTTCCTCCTCTGCCTCCAATTCCTCTCTCCTGAACTGCACAGACACCACACGTACCTGCAACTCCTTCCTCGCCTTTAGGCCCCCTCTCTCTCTAATCCCAACTCAAACCCTAGCCCTAATCGAATCAATGTTCGACGCGTTGCCAAAAGACATCTCTGTGGACCAAGCCCCGACCTCTGATAACCACCAACTCTTTTACATAAAAAAGAACTGTTCTTGTGATCCCCGTCGCCATGAATACTTGGCCATGACCACTTTTACGGTGCCTAAAAATGAAGGAACAGTCTATGAACAAGTTTCAGAGGCATATGGTGGGCTTGCCGTGTTGGCAAATAATGGAAGGCCAGCACGAGAGGGGGCAGTGGTGGGTTTGAGATTGGCGTGTGGGTGCTCAGGTGGTGTATGGAATTATCTTCTAAGCTATACTTTAATGGAGGATGACACATTGGAGGGGTTATCGAGCAGGTTTGGAGCTGGAATGGGCGATATTGAGATGGTGAATGGGATCGACGATCCGAGTGTTTTGACGGTTGGGAGAGTTTACTACATACCCATGAATTCAGGTTGGTTAAGTTTGTGTTTGGTTTCTCTCTCTATATGTTTTCTGTATCTAGGTTCCTCTTTCTTTTTGTCCATTGGTGGGTTTGATGCCTCTCTGAATTCTGGATAAAGATTGTCGATTTACGGTGTTCTTTCTCTCTCAAAAATTGTTGGGCTTTTTGCGTTGCCATATATTCAGCATAGTTAATCTCTCTCGCTCTCTCTCGCTCTGGGCTCAATGTTGGGTTTGCTACATAGCCATGAATTCAGGTTAGTATATTGCAGATTTCCGTGTTCTCTTTACTATGTTTCAGTTATGTAACCCATATATAGTTAATTCAGATTAGTTAATTACTGGCACTCTCTATACTCATTAATCACTACCTCGCTTGTTTGTTATAGTCCGATGGATTCAATTTCGTTAATCCCCTCTCTCTCTCCCTCTCTCCATCTCTCTCTGTCTCTCTCTCTCTCTCCTCTCTCTCTCTCTCTCTCTCTCTCTCTCTCTCGTCTCTACTCTCCTCCTCCTCCTTCCTTACCTTACGTCCTTACTTCTTCCTTACTTCTCTTCTTACTCTTCGT